TTAGATTCGATATATCGGCGTATGTTAGGTTCGATATTGGTGCTGGAGGGCTGCCCATTTCTATTCTATCGTGTCGACGTTATTGCTTTTTTATATGGATCAGAAAAAAGGTACGTTCTTGTTCAATGAGATCTCGGCAACTGCAGAAGTCCCGTTTTCATTCCTTTTTTTTGATGTTACAATAGCGGTGCTGATGCCGAAAAACCGGAACAAAAACGACCTAAAACAAAGGGCGTCGTGACGTCGTGTTTGTATCCATCTAAATATTAAAATATTCATGCTGTGCAGACGGGAACAAAGGACGAGCAAATATATATAAGGGGTATTTCGTGATGAGACCGTAGTTTAGGTTGCTTTTTTGTATAGGATTACTCTCGGTAATAATAATAAGTATTTCTTTTTACATTTTTGGTTAATATTTAATCCAGCAACCACATTGAATACAGGTTGATTTTGAATGGGAAGAATCGACACAAAATCTCTATGATTGAATGGAACCCACCAAAGAAAGCCTAGGATTTTTCTTATGGTACTCGGTCTGAATTCGTAAGATTACTTCGATCGGAACCCGTAATTTTCTATAGAGAGGGGAATCCGGAATATTCTCCACTATTTATTGCGAGAAAATTTAGATGCGGTGATGCGGCGTTGGTAAGTTACCGACGGTTTAATGTACCGAGAGAATTTCTCCTGTAATTTCCAAGAGGAAATGCAATGCCTAGAAAAAGAGGCGAAGAGAATGATTTAGAGAGAAGGGGAATTTTCGGCGGAACCGGGATATTAATGACGCGTATAACTTGTCTGGACCCCTTCAGGATACGGGAGAAATGGGGAAGACGAAGAGATATTTATTGCCGAAAAATTATACCTATTTTAATTAACTAAATTATTTCGTGCCCTCACGGAGTCGTTAATTTGTCTCAGTCTCTGTTAATTAACGTATTTTTAGTAGCTTTGTAAGGCAATAAAGGGGAACGAATAAATTTGCTTTGGGGGTGCCGTGACATCCAATTAAATGTTTCTAATTGAAATACTGCTTGCTTGTGTGAAATTTATTGGTTTGAAATTGAAGCGGTTGATAATAGATTCACTAAAATTTATCTTGTTTTGCTATATACATATAACTTTGCAACTAATTTGAATGTGGTCGTTTATCCTGTTCTCGGACAATGTTTGCGTAAATTTCAAGAAAGGTTAGTTTACTTCCTCATTTTCCGGAAACAAGCGTTTTCTGGTTTCTGCCAGAGTAACACCACCACAATTTATGTAACCGGATAGATTTATTCGCGACCGCTATCTTGTGTTTGAGCGTTTCAGTGCAATTTCACTCCTACGCAGGCCTTCAGCCTTAAAAAATCCGATGTGGAATCCTGAAATCGCGCGGAATTCCATATGCGGAGCTTAATTTATTGCGTCTGTCTTCTGAGCGAAAATCCGATTCTCACGTATACGTTAAGGTGGAATCTGCAAGGATATTTTTAGAAAATTACGTGTCTTACCTGGTTTTCCGTTGAAACAATAAAAGTATGCAAATGCGGAGGAACGCTCCAGTTTTAAAGGACGTAGGCACGGTCCCTTTTCGAGGTATTATTTACGGCACCGGTCTCGCGACAATAGCAACGTAACGTTCTGTATTTATAGTATCTTAAAAATTTACCGCCGACGCCCTCTGGTATAAGGAACGGAACCCAGACCGACGAGCTCTCTTCCACTTCCTTACGCCGCGCTGCCGCCGTCCCAGAAGAAATGATAAATAAAAGTATGCAAATGGAATCCCATATACGCGGCTACATCCAGTAGGACGGACGCAAAAACGTACCGGTGGATTTCCGGGACGACAAACCGGGCCCCCAAACCCTTCCAAGAGTAGTACGAAAAGGGAAAACAAATAAGAAGCCCGGGCGAGCGAAATGGTTTTCTTAAAATTCGCAAAGGACTCGTGCTGTACCTCGGGAACATTTTTGGAGTTATTTAAGAGACGAAAGAGATTTTTGTTTATCCCTCTGTTCTTTATATTTCTTAGTTTCATGGATTATAGTATTCTTATTCGAAGATTACGAGGGATTTTTAAGTTTGCAGATCAACAACTTTTCATAAATAAATTTTAATAAATTTCTTTTTTTTAATAATAAAGGCTTAATACCTCGATTTTATGCCAACACATTCAAGTAAAAAAGTATCTAAAACGAAAAATGTTTTTAATTATTAGTCCAGATATCATGATTGATTCAAAGATTTATCATGTGAAGCAAGTTCATTTACATCTTCTGATTCTACTTCCAGATCTAGCTTTTTTGCCATTTCTACAAAGTTGCTTATTATTATGGTTTTAAAGTCACACACGTTTTTATTGTCGATAAAATCACTAACTATCCCTGGATGTAATTTTTTCCAATCTTTCTGTATTGTTGTTTCCTTAATGTCTTTCAAAGCTCGTCCAAACAGTTTCCAAGATCTCGCGGCCTCTGCCTTTTTCATTATCTATTGCTACTAGACATTGATTAAAAGTTCGTTTAAATAATTTAATTTAAAGGTGGCTGTTATACACTGATCCATAGGTTGTAGTATACAGTGAATTTCACTTAAAATGCAATATCCAACAATATACTTAATTACTTTGTCCCACATAAAATGCAACATGTCTGAATGTTTCTGGTTGTAGGTCTAATATTAATTCTAGTGACAGTGTTAAGATATCACTATGTTCCATAAAACTAGAACTAAACCCCAATGTTTCTACTTCTAGGTCTAGTGTTAATTCTAGTTTTACACTAGCACTATCACTAGAACTAAAACAAGACCTAGAACTAGAATCATTCGGGTTTAGCCGTCTTGAGAGACGTGCGGCTAAATCCGAATGTTTCTAATTCTAGGTCTAGTGTTCGTTCTAGTTTTACACTAGCACTATCACGAGAACTAACACAAGACCTAGAACTAGAATCATTCGGGTTTAGCCGTCTTGAGAGACGTGCAGCTAAACCCGAATGATTCTAGTTCTAGGCTTGCGTTAATTCTAGTTTATATGAAATTCCCGGTAGAAGTGGCAAATGTTAGGGTACAGTTCATTTAATATTTGAGGATAACAAGAGGCGTTGTCTATCAATTGTAAAATCTTAAGCGGAATCTTATTCTTTTTGGAATACGCAGTAACCGCAGGTACAAAACAGCTTTTAAACCAGTCTTGAAAAATATCTGGATGGGTAACTTTCTTGTTAAATCTAAAAGAACAGGAAGACTAGACTTACCATAATTTTAAAATCGTTTCAGTTTCATAGTGCCTAAGGTATTGCTTCCCAATAAAAGTGTTATTCTGTCTTTTGCTGCTTTGTAACCTGGCACAAACTATTCTTCTTTGGCCATAAATGTTCTTCCAGGCATTTTCTTCCTAAACAAACCTGTCTCAACCTCTCTTATTACTTTTTTTTAGATCTTCAACGAATTTTGTTGCACTTTTAGTGACTCCAGCAACTGCTCCCACTTGCACTTTGATGTTATGTAAATTTAATCTCTTTTTAAACCATCCATGACTAGCAACAAATGTGATATTTATATTATAAATCGATTTTTACGTTCTTTTCATTATTTTTAAATAATGTAATTAAGTACTTCGCATAATGTTTCGTGATGTTTATAAAAAGGTACTATATCTGCCAAGAAGTGTTTAATAACAGGAGTTCAAAAAACGCACATCGCTTGCGAACTCTACTTGTGGTTTCGTAACACATTTTGCTCCGTTATTAAATCCTTTTTCTCGGCCTGAAAAAGTGAGTTTTATGAAAACCGCACAGCTCCAGCCACAGTTTAGACAAAACCCAGTGGCCGCAGGCTGTTTTCCGGCTTCGTCCTCCTCCTCATTTCGCTCCGGTTTTACTCTCCAATAGATCACGCAACGCCCGGAATCCGAAATTAACGTGTCTGCTCGAGCTCCATCGAGTTACGCTGCATCTTTTATGATCCGTGGGGTGCGAACCGTACAATTACAGTCCCGGGAGAGCGACGTCCGAGCTTTTACGTTGCGCCCTGCGGCTGGTACCCAAATGAAATTATAGTGCTCAATCGGAAACGGTAAGTAGTCAAAGAGAGGTCCCAAGCTCGACGGTTTGGTCCGGCGCGAATTGAAGGTTTTATTAACGCCAAAGGAGGGGGTTTTATTGAAGCCGGCTGCGAAATAAACCCCAAAAAGGCCTTTGAAGGTTCCCACACCAACTGAAATATTCAACCTTTCTGGCTCACTTCTATATTATTGGATTGCTTGCGCTGTATCTTTATCCAGTTCGGAAGCTGGGTTTACGATTCTTTTAATGAAATTATGACTAGTATTCATAACCCTAATTTCACCTCGCCCCCACGCGATAGGAGGTACTTTGCTACACTCATAATTTAACATTGTGCCAAGACACCCTGAGCTAGCGCCGCGGTGGGTCGTACGAGTTAATCACTGCATTATTTATAAACGACGTGCAAAAGCTGGTGCAATTTTGAACTTACGACGCGGTAAGCTACTGGATACGGTTGTAAAACGAAATTAACAACTTTTACGCGACCGCACAAGCTAATTTCTACTTTGAGTCAAACCATAATATGCATGAAATCTTCACTATAGTCTCTACATTAAATCTAATTTTTAATTTTCTATTTTATATTTTTTATTTTCTTACGTAAAGCAACACCGAAGCAGAGTAAACAATTTTTAATGAAAGGAACAGTTTACCCTTAGCATTACGCAAAATTAGATTCGCCTCCTGAAATTAATTAGATGGATATCTAAATTGGGCCGAGAGGGTAAACATTTCGGGGTTTTAAGCGTGAAGAAAGTGGGATGAACCCAAAACAGAAAAGAAATTATTGGAGACGTGATCGTGCATTAATAATTTTACTGAAAGAAGTTTACTTAAAGTACTTGCGTAAATTACACTTCTGCAATCCCTCGACTTGTTAATTTGGAAATCCAGCTTTCGTCAAAATTCGTGACCTTTTACTTTATTAATTATCGTCTTCTTAGCGAACTATATAAGAGTCAAAAAGAATATTAAGAACAACTCAGTGCGAATAAGTCAACATGAAGGTAAATACAGATTTTTGTTATAATTTTAGAGATACCTTATTATTATGGTTTATAATTTCTCATTTTCAGTTAATAATCGTTGTGGCACTTCTTATTACTTGTGCTTTAGCACATCCAAGAACACCTTACCGACTAAAATCTTCCACAACTACTACGACTGAAGAAACTATATCTGAATTAGAAGATGATTTAGCAACTGTTGCAGATGTAGTCACTGAAGAAATAGCCGAATTAGAAAATCACGAAGTAACAGTCACTTTATCTGAGAATGAATGTAAAGAGGTTAACAATATATTTAGCGGGCGCAATAAACGCGATGCGTTGGATAGAATCAGACTGAAGAACAAGTTCAGAAAAGCGTGTACTTTCGCCGTTATAGCGGGTTAAAGTGAGAGTTATGTCTTGTTTAAATAAACTGACCACACGTGATATCATGTTTACGGTCGAATTGTAACTTATGTGTTAATGGCCGCAGAGGTCTTGTTGAATAAATAAAAAAATTTTAAAGTCGCTAAACTGTTTGTCTCCGTTTTGGTTGTTAAAACACGCGCTGAATATTTTTCTTTAATTAACACCACACAAAAACAGTTTAAACAATCATTTTTTTTATGTTTGTTTATGTGGGATGGAATTTTTTGTGATTATGGCTTGCAAAATATTAATATTGACGTCAAACGCAATAATTATTGAATCTATGGTACGATTATTTATTTCTTTACGATCGTAGTAGATACTTAATATCAATTAGCATAAATATATTAAATGATTTTTGCGAAAAATGTTATTGGGGAATCTTTGTTTGCATGCTGTATTATTGCCACAGCCGTAAATAGGTATATAAAGGCATCTTCAAAAAAACATTCATGAGTTATTGTGCAACGAATTTCTTTAGTGTTCGCTACATAAAAAAAGAAAAATGAGTAAATTTACTTTTGTAAGTCTAAATCAATTTTTTAACATTACTTATTAACATTTTTTTTCGTAATAGATAATTCTTGTAATGGTTTTATGGACGTGTTTAATCACAGCTCACCCATTACCAGATAATGAAAAATCTGATTTAGTTCAAACTAAACTTGCAACGGAAACTTCCAAAACAGATGAAGCTACATCTAAAATACGTAAAAAACGTGGTTTCTTCGAATCATACAGACACTGGAAAAAGTTTAGAGCAGCATCTAATTTTGCCGCAGTTGTGGGTTAATAAAATCGATTATTTATAACTACAACTATGTTCTTGTTATCCTTTTTTGTAACCATATTTTTTTAATAAACATTTCTTGAAACTCAAGCAAAAACCTTTTAACTTACACATGTGAGAACCACCACGTATACATTCGCTATTAATCATAGCAAGACCGCGTCCTGCTGGACACGATTGCTACATGAATAAATCTTTTATTCAAGACTAGCAAACGTATTAGGTGAAGTGGTAAAAATTGCTGTCCCGTGCGAGGTCGCTCATTCTCTCGATTGTCATCTCAGCCAGACGGGCCCAATTACCATCTTTTGACGCGACGTCGCCGCGTATCGCCCCTGGGATCTGTCGCGATTCAAATAATAATCGTAAAGGTAATAATAGAGGTGCGTACGCGGTGTATGCTGTACACCTGCACGTTCCACTGCTCGCATCTATCAAGATATTCAATTTATTCTTGCCTACTGCAGCGTTAAAGGGTGTGGCAGGATAGAGTTAGTTCAATGCAGAACTAACAGCATGGATAAATAATCCAGACAGATTCAGTTAAGGGTGCGTTTATTATGTTAAATTTAAAAATAAAAAAAAAACTGAAAAAAAGAAAAAAATAGAATAATGTATATAGTAATAGCATATTGTAAATTTCCTTTAACATTCACATTACCATACGCAGTGCTCCCCTAATCCGCTGCGTAGCACTCGGGTATAAATCACGCTACTTTTCTATTTGGGGGGAAGTATTACCCGTTTCGGATTCCCTATTTCAAACTTCCAGCAATATTTTTCCGTGCCTCGCTCCGACTAGTTGAAATGCAATTATTCTATTCGCAGCACAAACTCCTTCAAGCCATGATTTACGTCGTTCAGTACACTGCACCTATCATAGACTTCGATCTGTTCTCTTTCCTTACTTTATCATTCACTATTAATAAAGCGTTGTTGTTGGCGAATAATTACCGTACGATAAATTGCAATTGTGTTTTATTTCACTTTTCAACAGCTGTACAAGTAGTTGTCGAGGATTTATGATAGAAGAAATTACAGCTTAAAATTTTCTGTTATAAATGATATATTTAATAATACACCTGGGTGGCGTATTTATAACATTAATAAAGACATTTTTAAGTTTAATTACCACCTAAAACCCCTATAAAATATGCTATTATAAAATGTAATGAATGAGGTAAATATTTAATAAATGTTTAAAAAATCGTATCTCAAAAACTAATTTAGATATCATCATGGTGTAAAAAGAAAATTAAAGTTAATATAATTAATATTTGATATGACAAACCTCTTTACATTTTGTTGTAATGACTTTTTTAATTGAGCTCGGGTAGTTAATGATGTTAAAAAAAATTGAATAGTATTTAACATATTATATCTCGAGAACTAATAGAGATATCACGATGATATAAAGAGCAATTTAAAGCAAATTTAATTGTTATTTTATATGTATAAGATTATTTTCTGAAATCTTCAACTCTTCAAGTTATGATGTTTTGAATGTGTTACTGCGTAATCATACCCCTTGTAAAAGTAATTAATTTTTAAAAATTCGTATCATAAGAACTAATTGAGATATCGTTATGAGGTAAAAAGGAGTTTAAAGCAAATTTTGTTGTTATTTGACATGAAAAAGATCATTGCCTCAAATCTTGAAGGGGCGAAGTTATGATTTATTGAATGCAATTCTACTTAATGATACTCATTGTATGTCAAAATAAAAGTAATCGATTTTTAAAACTTCGTATCTTAAGAACTAATTGAGATAACGTCATGAGGTAAAAAGCAGTTTAAAGCAAATTTAATTGTTATTTTATATGTATAAGATCATTTTCTGAAATCTTCAACTCTTGAAGTTATGATGCTTTGAAAGTGTCACTGCGTAATCATACCCCTTGTAAAAGTGATTAATTTTTAAAAATTCGTATCATAAGAACTAATTGAGATATCGTTATGAGGTAAAAAGGAGTTTAAAGCAAATTTGGTTGTTATTTGACATGCAAAAGATCATTTCCTCAAATCTTGAAAGGGTGAAGTTATGATTTTTTGAATGCAATTCTACACAACGATACTCATTGCATGTCAAAATAAAAGTGATTAATTTGTAATAATTCGTATCTTAAGAACTAATTGTGATAACGTCTTGAGATAAAAAGCAGTCTAAAGCAAATTTAATTATTATTTTATATTCAAAAGATCATTTCCTCAAATCTTGAAGGCATGAAGTTATGTTGCTTTGAATGCAATTCTACATAATGATACTCATTGTGAAATTCGTACCTTAAGAAGTAATTGAGATAATGTCATGAGCTAAAAAGTAGTTTAAAACAAATTTAGTCATTATATGACAATGATCAAAATCTTGTGAGTTTAATTTCCATTTCCACACTAAGTTATGACTCAAACTAGAATTACATTCACAGTTTCAATGCATGAAAGTTGTTAAAAGGGTTAACTTATGAAATTGAAAATTATTTAGTTATCGTAGCGATTTACGAATACCCTGTAGCCGTTCGAATAACAGAAAAACCGGGTACCGTCCGATACCGAGCGAATCGAAAACTTAATTTATATGCCGACAGCACAAAAACGGGCTTAATTTAGTGAAAAAATAAAGGAGCCGAAATTAAATCTACCGCCGGTGGTCCGGGTCGAAGCGCCTCGATCCCCAGACCTTTTGTATCATCTAACTGGTATTTCTATTTATCTTGCGAGTCAATTAACCCAACTTGGGAATTGAGGCCTATTTCTCATTCAAAACTTGTTCTAAACGTTTTGTCAAAACTAAATAAAGTCTAAATTATATAAAATTTTGAAAATATTTCTTTTTATGTTCGGGTTTTAAGTACATATAATTATGCCACGTCAGGTTTTTTGCGCGTTCGAAACGTCGTCAGGGGACCAATTTTGGTCATATCTGAGCGTCCATCTTTCCGGGACCGTGCCGCTTAAAAGTGCATAAAGTTCCTTAAAAGCCGGGACCTGGTAGCCGGAGTTTTATGAGTTGGCAATTTTTAAATAATAAGAAATTAGGCGTCCGCGGTCCTGCAATTTCGGGTCGGCCCTCTTGACTTATCTCTGCGATCGCGGAGAAATTTTTACAACCAACGGTCCTCGACGAAATTACTGTAATTTTAAAAATTAGAAAATTGCTCGCTATCCTTTTTCGAGATCGTAAAGATTCGTGAAATCCTTTTTTTCTGAATAATTAGTCGTGCCTTGTTACTGTAAAAATTTAAATGTAAAACTATAACTACTTATACGTATATATAGTATATCAAAATGGAAATGGAATAACTGTAATCGTTGAATAGGTTTGGTTTGGTTGAATAGGAGGTTGTATTATTTAATATACGATGTCATTTATAGCAACGGTTTTATTTCGAGGTACGTATAAGGTTAACGCAACGATAAAACGTTGATATAAAAAGGTGATTGATGCTTATAGCGAAAAGAGCAGCCGTTCAGTTGGGTTCTAATTTACGACGCATTGTTTTTGGTCCGGTGAGAGCGAAAAATTCGGCGCTAATTTACGAAGCGGAGCGACTTTTTCAATCCAGGGCGACCTTCAACGGCGGCGCAATTAAAGTAAAAACGCAAATTCACCGTCGCCGATCGGATAGGAAAAAACCACGGCAATTATACCGTCGGTCGGGAGGAGCTGGGCACGGTGGTTATTACGGGGCTTTTTGCGCTGCCGATTCATATCGTTGGCGGTTTGTGCGGCCCCCAAAAGATATTGCACATTTGTACCTTGCTCGCCCTTATCTTCGCGGCCATAAATCGTCAAGCTAAACGCGACCCCCTCGGAAATATATCATCGCGCTCCCTATAACAATAATTACAAGTTTGTTAGCGCACTTATACCGGCTGTAAATTCCGTTTCGGCCACATTAAACGCCCGCCCGTCGCGTTTAAAATAATAAAAACCGGCTTCGTTCCTCGATATCCGGCCAAGTGATCTACACCTGGCACGGTATTCGATTTAATTTTAAACGCTTTCAGATAAACGCTTTCTATGTATCGGAACGTACCTTAGCTTTAATCCAATGATATTATTTCACGATACCAACAGTTAAAGTATAACCATCTTTAACAATATCACGTCACTCAATTTTTAAACACCTTGTAAGTCGGGTGTTAGAAACAAAACTAATTACAGGTACATCAATTGTTATATACCAACAAAAAGAGGACATTCTACGCTGTCATTTAATATATAAGTCATCTTTTCAAGTTCATAAATATGACATGCACGTTTTCTTGAAGTTTTGATATTTTGTATTTTAAGTAGTATTATATGAAAATATTAGGTTTCCACTTTATAATCTTTGTAAGGAAAAATAATTTGCGGTATATCGATTGCTATATACCAGCTTAAAGAGTACATTCCACGCTTTAGTTTAATATATAAGTCATCTCTTCAATTTCATAAATAAGACCTACACGTTTCCTTGAAGTTTTGATATTTTTCATTTTAAGTAGTATTAGATGAAAATATCAGGTCTCTACTTTATATTCTTTGCAAGGAAAAATAATTTGCAGTATATCGATTGTTATACACCAATTTAATAAGCTTTAGACAAATTTTGAAAGTTTTGTAATTTCTCGTTAAAAATGGATTGGATTTAGTTAAAATGTAATGAATGAGGTAAATAATTAATAAATGTTTAAAAAATCGTATCTGAAAAACTAATTTAGATATCATCATGGTGTAAAAAGAAACTTAAAGTTAATATAATTAATATTTGATATGACAAACCTCATTTAAGGCTTTACATTTTGTTGTAATGATTTTTTTAATTGAGCTCGGGTAGTTAATGATGTTAAAAAAAATTGAATAGTATTTAACATATTATATCTCGAGAACTAATAGAGATATCACGATGATATAAAAAGCAATTTAAAGCAAATTTAAATATTATTTCATATGTATAAGATCATTTTCTTAAATCTTCAACTTTCAAAGTTATGATTTTTTGAATGTGTCACTTCGTAATCATACCTATTGTAAAAGTGATTAATTTTTAATAATTCGTATCATAAGAACTAATTGAGATATCGTTATGAGGTAAAAAGGAGTTTAA